TCAAACAGATTGTCTCTGAAATTGGTATATTCTCTTTCAAATCTCTGATTTAATACTTAATCAAAACAGTGCTGGATGGCAATATGTCAGAGATGGTGTAATAGTATTGAACCAGGCAGAGAGTAGTTAATGATTAATCAACTGACTGCATCAAAGCACAACACAATGTCAACTGACAAAAGGATAAAATAGGTGTAAATATACCAAAGTACAGAACAAAATGCATTCAGATAAATGCATCATCTTTACACATGACATTGATTTGTTCTATGTAAGAAGCTCTCAGCTAAACAGCTTTAACTATAAACTTGGCAGTTCTGCTGGCTATATATTTATTAGTCCCTGAAGGAGGTAGGGCTATCTGTTGTTGAGGTCCCAATAGTAGTTTTGTCAATAAAGGCTCTAAATACTGGGCCCTGGTTGGGGCATATAATTGGCATTGTCTTCTCTGTCTGGGGCTCCACATATATACTTCCTCTCATTGTATGGTCCATACTTTATCATGGAGTCCAACAACTCAAATCTTACTCTAATAAGGGCTGTTCTTTGATACCTAGCCAAGCCCACTGTTAGATATTTTTCTATTTGGAGTGATATTTTGTTTCTGGCCAACCATTTTAAAGAACTGGAGCTGGCAAATGAGTCTGTATCAGTTTGGGCACTAATATCCAAGGTTCTCTTTATGAAGATTTCCTTGGTCTGCTGTCCAGCCAAGAATAGATATTAGGCTGATAGCCCATGCTGCAAGATAACTTTAGTCAATTGGTTTAAACACATGATTGGCTGAACTATTGCTATCCATTCTTCTAGGGACATTTTGGATAGCCTAACAGTCCATTAGGAGAGTCTTTTGCCAGTAATTGCATACTTTAATTCTTGAATAAGTATGTACAGGGTAAATACCTGTTTTGGCTCGAACTGTGGGGGCTGGCATAGTCTTGTCAGTTCCCAGAATACTTCTTAAAATGAGTCTGGTTTTGTTCAAGTATAGGGGACTTTGATAGGCCCCACAATTCTGCACCACAGGTTAACACAGGAACTATTTTTGCCTTGTAAGCCTTTAATGTGGGGGTCAAAGTATCTGGGTACTTATAATTAAGTAATTTGAATAAAGTTTTGGAATTTGCCGCAGTCACAACCCAAGGAGCTTTTATGGGAATACCTCCTTTTGGGAAGTGAAAGGTCCTCAAATCCACTTCTCTCAAAATGGAACCAGCACAAATTTGACACTTTTACTAACAATGTAATAAAATGAAAAAGCAATCTATTCTTTGCTGAAAGATAAGTATTTTTCTATGAGAAAGGCAACCCCTCACCCCCCCCCATACATGGAACCAATTGTCCTTGTCAGTAAAAATCCTCCTTAGTCTTTCAACTAATTTGCCCTCTCAATTAACCCTGGAGCACAAGGAAGTTCTTTCAAATGCCTGAACAGTAAACTAGAGCAATGAAAACTTCAAAATCTATATCCACCAATGTTGCTGGTGGCCTCTTGTATACCTTCTTGATATCCTGCCTGGCCATCTGACAATGTGGCAACAGGAGGAGCATAACACCCATCCTTTGGTTGGGCCAACATGTGGCAATCATTTGGAATCCAATTTAATATTTCTGTAGCGCCTTGCAATATGGATAATGATATATATACTAGTGGAATTTGTTCTTCAGTAGTGAGAAGAAGCATTTTGATTAAAGGCAAATTAATCAACTGTGACTTTTTAAACTTACTGCTTATCTATTGAAGGCTCAGCTAGGTGATCTCAAAGAACTAAGTGGGTTTGGACCTGCTCTGGGGACCAACAGGAAATCCCAGGATTGGAAGTAGACTGGGAACTTGAAAAAAAAAATGAGAGCTCATTTACCCTCAGATTTTTAAGTCCTGCTCTTCAGACTTCATATCTTCCACAGGGCTACTTCCTATACCATAAACGATCCATATCTAGTTGTTTGAGAGGGATATGATACAGTGATTAAGAGTGTTGACTAGAAAAAGGAAGAGAGAGGAAGAAGAGAGAACTCATTATATGAATAGACCATTTGATATACAGTAGTAGTTCATACCAAGGAGCTATTTTTAAACGTTCCCAGAAACCAATGACAGAACACAAGATTCTAATATAACTGTATCAGTGTATCTTATCCAATCTCCTATCCTCTCAAAAACAAATCAAAATAGGCTCAACATCTCCAAACTCAGGAGCAAAGTTCCCCATACAATCGAAGAATAGAGTCAGCTGATACAAAACAGCAGTCAACTTTAGAAGGAGGGATACTCTCAAGCAGGGATGGGGTAGAGAATGGATTAGCTAAAATCCTGAATTCTATGTAGCAACATTTTGTTGCAAAACTTCTCTTATAAGTTTGCAGGCATTACTTCTGCAATCTGAAAAACAGCAGAAAGCAGTTTTATGAAATAGTCTTTTACAAGTTTTCAAGCTTCTCAGCAGTGATTTATTAAAATATAGCAGGTAAAGCAATACTGCAAAGATGCTTTGCTTAATCAGATGCAATCTTTAAAAAGCACTGAGTTGAACCGAACTGTTCCAATCCAAAAAGAAACTGTAATCATACAAGATGTGTGTAGCTCTTTAGTGAACACAGTAAGAAAGCTTCAGCTGACAAGCTTCACTGATGTGGGACGTGGTTCAGAATTGAGAAAGACAATTATTTAAACCAAAGTAGCATGGACATGTTAGTGGTTCTTCTCTACTAAAATAACCAAATTAGTAATAATTGGTAGGTATAAAAACTCAGAGAGGTTTCATGACTGAACAAGTGTTAAATAAAGATAATCATATTTTAACAGAAGGCACACTACTGGTACACAAAGGGAACAATTTCAGTACACAATGATTTGTACTTCTGTTTTCTTTCATAATTATCTCGCTGCAAGCTGAGATTTCATTCCTACAGTGTTTGATTAAGAAGAAGCTAGTGTATAAGTGCATTATATATCAAAGATACAGCACATGTGCACACACTCTCCTAAAATAAAATTGAAGAAACAGTGCCCTTTGAATGCAGGAAATTATTACAGAAACAAGTATTAAATACTTCATGGTGTTTAATTAAAAGTATAGATGTCACTAAATGTGGATCAGAAGTCAAATCCCACGTGCATTTAGAAACTTGCTTAGCTAATAACAACTCCCTTTTGGTAGTTAATAATTGTAACCTATCTCAATATATAGGGCAAGACTACTAATAAGCCTTCCTCTTTCTTAAAACAGTCCTACTGCCATTAAGGAAATGCAGAGCATTATTATGCTTATATCAAATATATCAGAGTGAGAACCATAAACTTGAGTCTGTGGAGTATAGCCAATCTAACCTTCAGAAATCAATGAAATGATAGAGCTTAAACAAGCATTTAGCTTTGACTGAGGATTAAGCTATCCATTGTTTCCAGGAGGCAGCATTATAAGTATATCCCCAAAAGAGTACAGAAGTTAAGTGGGCATCTCTGTCAAAACCACTGCACCTATTCTAAAATACTCAGAAGTCCTATTCTTGAAATATGAGTCCTTTCTTGTGGTACAGAACAAATATTTAATCTTCAGCTTCATATGTTCTATCCAAAATGAATACATGCATTAGTTACCAGTTGTATTCCTGCTGCTGTCGGCTTAACCTGGGTGAGGTGATCTGAGGCGCTCTTGGAATGAAGCAGCAGGCCTTGAGACCATCATCCTAGTCATTTGGTTGCTGCTGATGAAAGGTACCCTAAGCAAGACTAGGATTGTGGCTTACTGCTGCTAATGCAATGTTTTTACCATTGCTGCTGCTGCTAAGCAACCACACATATCCAATCCCATTTTAGTTCAGTTGTGGGTTTTTGTTTTTTGGGGGTTTTTTAGTTTCAATTTTAAAACACTATATACCCATGTTGCTCAATTCACTGCTTCTTGAGTTGGGGAAGACATACAACCTGTAGAGAATCAGGGAGATGACCTTGAGGGAAATGAGCAAGAACCATTATATAAGCAAAGAGGGATGAAATGTTCCTTAAGTCCTGAGAAACAAGATAGTGTTTGGAAGAGATTCAGGCAGGCTCCTCCCTGATTCAGTGGGGTATAAGAGGGAGGGGAGGTAAAGCACAACAGGCCAGCAAGATACTGTATTGTAGCCTATCTCAATAAATTATATTTCTTGTCTTCCTATGGAATCTGTTTCTTGAGCTGGTCTACCTCAAAGGGCTGGCATTAATCTTGCAAGCCTCACTGTGCTTTATCTCCCCTGCCTATTGTTCTTTTTAAAATAATTTTATTAAAAGTTTTAAAAAATGAGATAAAAATTAATACAAAGTAATATAAAGTAAGAAAGAAAAAAGAAAGAAATCAAAGGAAAAGCTAAAAGTGTAAGAAAGGGGGGGGGGAAAGTAAAAGAAAGGAAAAAGCCTCCCCTCCCTATTGTTAACAGAATCTTGGACATCTGACTGGGTTTTCCCTTCCCTCCCTCTTATACACCAGGGAGGAGCCAGTCTGAGTCTCCTAATGCTTTCCCTGTTTTTTGGGCTCAACATGTGTTTTTGAATATGTCGTTGAGCCATCTCTAAATAGTTTCTCCAAGATCATCTCCATGGCTCCCTGCAGAACCACATGTGATGACCTTTCTGGGGGGTGGGGAAGTTCTCTATGCTGGTTTGGTTAGCTGGTTAGCATTAACACTGACAAAAGCTCTGTGCTAACTGGATTCAGCCACATTGTTGAGATTGGGTGCAAGTGCTTTCTGTTCATGATTTGGTGTACCACTAATGCAGTGCAAAGCATCCTTGATCCAAAGACATGATGTTGTTAGTTTTGCCTCTTTGCTGCTGCATTCTCAGAGATGAAAGAGTAAACCTGATGTAAGAGATGTGCTCTGCCACCTAGCTGTGGTCCCCAACTTAACAAAATATACTATGTTTAGTTTGATTCAAAAGCACTGGAAAGCCATTTCTCTTTCTGCTGATCTTCAGTTTAGAGGAATATTCAACATTTTATAGGACAACATCCACTTACATGGAGCATAAAACATTACGAGAGCGTGCTTCTTTTTCTTTAAAAATTCTCTGAAGTCTTCACCTGCAAGATGGGTAACACTTGTTTGCTTTTCTTCCCAAGTTGGTTCAGGGGGAGGTGGTGCCTGAGGACTGGAGAGGAAAAAAAACACGTTGCAACATTTTTATAAGGAAGTGCATATAGTATGTTTTCTATTATATTCTATTTCTGGATACACAATTGGTTCAGATCTCAAAGCAAAATATGGATTATTACCAGGAGACAAGCTTGTACATCTCACTTTCCTCCAACATGGGCATAAAGAGCCTAGAAGGGTTTTTTTTGTTTTTTTTGGACTGACTACAGTAACAAATGAAGCTCAACCCTAACCGTGTTTTGTTTGAAACAAGCCTTAGGTTATGACTGAGAATCATTTCAAGCAACCCAGAAATAGGACTAATTGTACTGTTTTGGGTACAAATCCAGCATCGAACTGAGACTTGCTAAGGCTAGCTCCCATCATGATGAACTCTGGTTTATCTTGATATCCTAACTACAGTGGAACTGCAGTGCATAACAAGGGATTTTAAAAGCAAAGATTAACCTAGTTAAGTTAAGATAATGTTTACAAAAAAAAAAGAAAAAGATTTAGTCAGTCTTTTCTTTTAGGTTTATAATTCCAATATCTCCTTCTGCTACATTACAATTCTACCTTTGCTACATTAGGACGGATAAATTTGCCAGTAAGTTTATATAAATAATCAGGTTGAGATACCAATTTATTCTTGATAGTATTTGAATGTTAATGGTCTAAATATAACAAACTTTCCATCCCATTCACAAGTCCTGTGAGCAATCCAATGACAGCTCTTTGATTACCTGTTCTATGACAAACAAACTTTCTGTGGAAACCAAGTCTAGTTGAACAATCTTTCATCATTCAATGTATTAGTATTGACATTTTGTGCTCTGAGCCCTTGCATAAAGCCAGTATGATGCCAAATTAATTAAACTAGCTTTCAAGAGGCACAACTAATAAAACCGCCAAATACTATTAATTAAAACTCAGATATTCAAAAGAAGAAATATACCTTAAGGCATGCATCCCAATTAAATGGTTAAAAATTTAGTCCTGCAAAATAGTTTTCGAAAAACACAAAAAGTACCTTTTCACTCACTCATAATGTCAATCTGGCATAATTAAACTTTTGAACTAGAGATTAAGAATTAATAACTTCTTCCAAAATGGAATGTGTATACTCTTTGCTTGCATGTAAATGACACAGTTGTATAACACAAAATTTTAATTAATGAATTTACCATTTGCTTAAAAGGGTACAATTTGCTCCAGGTTGATGAATAAACTCAACTAGAACGCCACTATTGTACCAACTATCAACAAGAATGCTACTATAAATACCATCTTCTTGAATTGCATCTTTAACTATTTCAGAATAGTTGCACTGATAGCCCATTAATCCAATCTAGGAGCATGTGGCTTTTATGACCAAAGACACTGGTAGGCAACTTTTTTGAAGTCATAAACATACCTTCAATTCTGAGAAAATATCATGGGTAATACTGTAGAGCTGCCTTGGAGGTATGGCCATTCAAAAAACAGTGAATGTGAGATAGGTGTCTTGCTGTTCTGAGTAACAGCATTACAGACCTATTGATGCCAGGTTTTGGTAGTACCATCCAGTATGAGTACTATTCATAGATATATTGTAGCTTTTATGTTTCCTGCTCAATAGTTTCAGTTTTCCCTCCTGGGGGCCCTAATCCCTGACAATGTGCATTTGTAATATGTGTTTATTTGGGAACATATGCAGATGAAATGATTTGCTTCACACATGAATCTTCCAGATCAGTCTGGAGCATCACATATGCATACTGGAGTTGGGTGGTCACTCATTCCCTGCTTATTTGCACCATCCATAGTTTTGCATTCAAGCCATCAGCAGATCAATAGTCTGAAGTGAGGACTGATTTCAAGTTTCAGAGCACTACACTGATTTGTGCAAACTGTGAGTCATTTGGTCCAAATGGGCCAAAATTGTGGTTTGCTCATACAATGGAAGAACATGCAAGCCTATGTTGTGTTCCCAGCCTTCAAACTAGTAACTATGAAGCATTTGGTTATTTTCAGATCTTTTACTGTTGAGGTCCAAGACTAGTACACAAACACAAATAAGACTAAACTTAAACTTCAATACTGTAGGTGAAGACCAGTGCAGAGTGTGCTAAAGCGAACAATGTATCACTATACAAAACAGAAAAAATTCAAAACATCTAAAAACAATAACTAAGAACATAAAGGTCTGAGCCATAAAATGTTTATTTAACAAATTTATATGGCCACCCTACTGACACACAGTAGATGTGACTCTGGGTGGCTTGCAAAGTAAAATCCCCAATACAAAAAAACCATCAACTCCTATCCCCTGTGGCCCAAAAACCCAATCAACACCACTTGATTGGCTTCTTTTCAGCTTGGGGTCTCCAGGTCCACTGGCAAAACCACGTCTTCAGGGCTTTCCAGAACAACATCAAGGTGGGGGCCAATCTTGTCTCAGAGGGAATAACATTCCACAGGGAGGGGGCCACCACAGAAAAGGCCCTTCTTCATGGTCTTATCAGATGTACTTCCCTCAACAATGGAACCTGCAACATACCCAGCCTCCCCGCTCTGGTGGGCTGGGTAGATGTAACTGGGGTGAGGTGGTCCTTCAAATAACCAGGCCCCAAGCCATGCATGGCTTTCAAGGTGATAACCAGCACCTTGAATTGGACCCAGAAGCAAACTATCAACCAACACAGCTCCCGCAAAAGAAGTGACACATGCACAAATCTGGACTTGTGCAAAACTATGCTGGCTGCTGCATTTTGAACCAACTGAAGCTTCTGAATACTCTTCAAGGGCAGCCCCATGTACAGTGTGTTACAATAGTCTGCATTAAAATAGCTGAAATTACCCCTAAATCTAGGGGAGGCGGTAACTAATAAACACTAAGAGCTTATATAGCTAATCAAATGAGATATGACCCTAATATGATATATGGAATAGAAAAATTGATTTGGGGAGAAATGGAGTTGGGGGAGATAAGGGATAAAGATTATTTTCTTATTACACAAAATAAAAAATGTTTTATAGAAATAAAAACCCAATAAGTAATGTTATCTTACAGACTTGGCATATTTATAAAAAAATATTTAGTCCAGGAATATCACCATTGACCCTAATTGTAGACTTAGAAAAATTTCCAGAGAATCTTCAGGCAGGATTAATAAAAGATATGGGGCAAGCTGGAGTATTAAGATTGAAAGATTGGTTAAGTAAGGTTTCTTGTAAAGATGATATAAAGGTATATTTATGGGGCAAGCTGGAGTATTAAGATTGAAAGATTGGTTAAGTAAGGTTTCTTGTAAAGATGATATAAAGGTATATTTATGGGGCAAGCTGGAGTATTAAGATTGAAAGATTGGTTAAGTAAGGTTTCTTGTAAAGATGATATAAAGGTATATTTATGGGGCAAGCTGGAGTATTAAGATTGAAAGATTGGTTAAGTAAGGTTTCTTGTAAAGATGATATAAAGGTATATTTATGGGGCAAGCTGGAGTATTAAGATTGAAAGATTGGTTAAGTAAGGTTTCTTGTAAAGATGATATAAAGGTATATTTATTTATTTTACTTTGTTCAAATATCTTGGTATAATGTACTGCAATTGAAGGCATGGACTAAGGATTGGATAAAACAATATGGGAAATGCAGACAGTTAACAAAATTTGAGGAATTAATAATACAAATGAAACAGAATGTTACAAACAAAGTAACAAAAGGGTTAACAGGTAAAATATATAAAATATTGACAGAAGGTAATCAAGCATAACAAGGAATGAAATTTAGTTGGGAGAATGATTTAGGTATTAATATTACAGAAGAGGAATGATCAAAGATTTGGATGCAAAGAATTATGAAAAATATGTCTGTTAGAATTAAAGAGAATTGTTATAAGACAATTTGGAAAT